ATCCCTAACAAATTCCAGTTATGACCAGCTACTTTTTACTTCACTGCTAACATTTGTGAGTTAAAGTTAAGGCCAGATGAAGAAGTTCTATCTTCTTTGACCTTCCCACCCCTAAATTGAGGGGTTGCACTCAAACGCAGCCCATACCAGCGCTGCACGCTGCCCTCCCACAGCACAATACAGCTGCTTCCTCAAGGATCTCGCTCCACGTACAGAAACTGCCCAGCCCCAGCCAGCCCAGTCACCACTATTCACTTAGCGCTGCTCCTTGGAACCATGGGGCAAATGCACGTCTCAGGGGGCAGGTGAAGAAGCGGGAAGGCTGACAATAGGTATGGTGAAGGGGACAGTTTTTCACAGGAGAGGCAGCATGAAAGGAAAGCATGGCAGCAATGGGAGAAAGACAAAACAGACAGCAGCTGACGTCGGGTTAGTACGAGGGTCTGAAGAGTTTGGGCAGTGATCGCAGCGGTGTGAGCACAGCGGTGCAGTTAAAGCGAGGAGGGTTAGAAGAAACTTGAACTGGATGTATATAAGCTTTAGGTATTGCCCTATGAGCTAGTTAGTACCAATTTGAGGTCTTAAACTATCAGTACCACCCCTGTATTAGTTGTTATAGCTTGTTAGTTGTCTTGCATGATTTACATATTTACTGAATTGTTCATATCTTACTGAATTTAAATAACATTAGATCTTACATCTGCCCAGCAGACTCTCTTTTGTGGCCCCATGTTCAACATAAACCTTTAGGGCTATTCTGACAAAACTGCTACTGTACTTGACGCTCTGCTGCTTGCCCACAAGCTCAGTTCAAGTTTCTTGTCTTTATTTTCAGGGTATTTTCCATTCTGTCCTTTCACTGCACCTGTCTGGACTGCATCAGCACTGCCCCCTCTGCCACCTCCCTCCCACTTCAATACCATCCTCCTGCTTCTCTGTTCAACAACTCCACTCAACACTACTAAAAAAAGTAATTGTATTGCATATGGCCAACAAGCCTAAAAATGAAATTGAAAATAAGTTGTATTTTTGAATTTATTTGAAGGATTCAATTGAAACATCAATTTATATTTACTAAAACAAGCAGCGAGACATATCCAGCCTCCCTGCTGCGGATCCACGGAAGGTCAGAACAGAACATGATCTACCTGTGTAAACGCTGTACATAGAATCGTTAACATTATTAAACTAAAACTGTAAAGCAATCAAGGAAAAAAAAAAAAGTAAATAAAGAAGTTAGATACTGACATTTTGCCTGGCGTTACCCTTGACCTGTACCCGTTTACCTGGACCTAGACCTTGAGCTCGAATGAGAGGATGAGCGCGATGAAGATCGTGAGTGGGAAGATCGAGACTTAGAACGACTGCGCCTATTGGATTTCTTTTTCTTATTAGTGTCCTCTTCTTCACTGGCATCGAGATTATACTTTGAAAGGTCAGCATCATCTTCATCCTCATCCTGAAAAAAAGCAGGTATACAAAAAAATACTTAGCATCTTTGATGGTTTTCTTCAGTTAGTGTTTTTTACTTATTCTGTGATTTATTTTGTGCTTTTTTTAAACCTTGAAAAAATTTATTTAATGAGATCCAAAAATTTTAAGAGAAGAGGGTGACTGAAAATTTGTGTTTCAAAGCAAACCATTAAAAAGCCTGCAAAACACCACCTGAAGTCCCATTTTGTGTTACTTAATGCAGTTAATGAAAAAACAGACATCCTTTTTTGCCAGTTAAATGAGTTCCTGGAAGAATTTTCAGACTCAAAATCCATAACCATAGAGTAATTCTGCACAGACGTGCTTCATATGCAGAATTTGGTGACTGCCTCTGCAGGGCTGCTGTCCAAAGATGTGGACAATCCAACATGTGATGGTCAGGCATTTCAGGAAAGATGAAAATCTCAGAGTATTTTATTTAAAAATAAACCTGATGTGGATTAAAAAAAGCTAAGAATAAAATTCAAGGACATTCCCTTTGTATGGTAACCAAACATAAAGGCTCCAAATAAAGATCCTAAAATTTCTTATTCTGTTCTCAGATAAGCTTTCAATTTTTTTACGGTTTTAAAAAAATTATACATCTTTGAACGTGGGTATTTAGAACAAAACAGAGCTTGTGCACATACTTTACAGAAGCCGTGGGCACCATTATTCTGACAGCCACTGCCCTACGCTGCTCTAGAGGCAGCTACAAATACAGACCAAACCTTACACACCAACACTAAACTGCACTGCAGCAGTAAGTAAAAAATAATTGCTAGAACAAACCCAAAACACGCTACCTCATCCAATTTATATTTGGAGAGATCTTCATCCTCATCCTCCTCATCTTCTCCTTCCGATTCCTTATCTTCCACTTCCTTCAGGATAGATGCAGGACCAACTGGCTTCCCTCTGTACTTTTTCTTTTTGCGTCCAAACTAAAAGATTTTATTCCATTAGAACAGGATTTAACCAAAAGTCATTTCCAACTGTATTTTTTCTGGATAACTTCCAATGAGAAAATAAATATACATCCACCTCAAATTAGGTATTGCTCAAAGGGGAGGAGGAGTACCATGAAACATCAATTACCAACAAGAAACTTTCTGCAGTGACGCTTGTTTTAGGTACAATTAGTACTCACAGACAAGATTTTAACGGAAATCCAAATTTAACAAAGGAGTATTTTATATCTGTGTCTGTGGGATAACTTCATAAAGCAGTGTTGGACACCTGGCTGAAAGCAACAGGCATGACCCTGAAGTCTAACAAACTCAGCCTGTACCGGCTTCATTTGAGCTCATTCTTAGTTTTTAACCCCCCGAAAGACAGACCAGACACATTCACTTTCAGTTCAAAACTGTCACTTGAGCATTTGACAGAGATAAACCTATTTCCAACGAGCTTTTTCCCACAAGGAAGCCAAACGCAGGCCCTTGCATCCTAAACGCAAATCACACAGTAGACGTCTCTCCAGAGTAACACGTGACCTTACCTCATCATACTCCCCGTCTGATTCTTCCCGTTCTATATACTCAACATTCTCTCGTTCATTAAATCCTCCTCCATATCCTTTCAAAAGGGGGAAAACAAGACAATCACCTGAGCTGCACCAAATTCTGCTCCATTAAGCACAAAACTTTGAATAACCTTTCACAGAGGATCTGGAAGCCATCAGCGGGTTATAAATACATGCCGTAAGAACGTGATAGGATCTCAAGAGGAACACGAATTGTTCCCACACACGTTTATTAAATATAGTTCCTCAGAAACCTAATTGAGAAAATGGATTAAGACACAAACAACAGAGAGGCAATCATGTTTAAAGGAATGGGGAAGAACCCTTCAGGGTTACAGCCGTGCTGAGCAAGCAGCTCCCAGAGCTCTGGCAGGGCTGCAGCGCCCGACAACCGCCTCGGTGTGGACAAACACAAGAGTGTCTCTGAGAGGCTGAAATAATGGCTATTGTCCTCCAAGACCAAAATCCCACCTCTGAGAGCAGCCAGGAGGCAGCTTGGGAAAGGAGGCAATGAAACATGAGGCAAGGGCAGCACGTGCCAACTGCTTTCCCCGCTGCAGCCTCTGCCACAGCTGGGCCCCACGTGCACACAGCCTCCCCGGCGTGCCAGCCTGCTCCCGCATCGCCACCACCCTGCGACACTCCTACGCGTATCCCCAGGGAGCAACGGGAATAAAAGCATCCTGTAGTGGCCCTGGATTGCACAACTGTCGAGATTTGCCTTAAGAATATTTCTATAATGCGAACTGAAAATGTCAGTGGCTCATTTTCATCTCAGCTGACTTTGCAACTTCCTGGAAGCTGGTGCAACGTGCTGGGTGTCCCGCATGTGACAGCAAAGTTACTCTGAAGGACACCAAGACTTAAAATACCCAATTAAATATTTAATTATACAAAATAGCATAAGAACTGGAGTTAAATATTATTAATATTCTTTAATATTCTTACAATATTAAGTAAGGATATTAAAAAAGATTCTTTTTCCTTTTGAACAATAAGCTCTCTTCTCCATGCTTCTTTTTATATGCATTAGCGTTACACTGCGCATCGAATTCTCTGCCTGACCCCACTTGCAGTGGGAACAGCACAGAGTTACGACTGCACTGAAAGGATATCCTCTGGTCTAGTTACCACTGGCTTCATTGTTAATGCAGGAGGAACTTGAAATGCGTCACAGCGTGACCAAACCTCAAACCTCATTAAGAGATAACAGGCTAATCTAGGCAGCCTTCTAACGCTGTTCTTGGGACTGCCGAGTCCTCTGCAGATGGACACTAAATACACATCAGAATCCAATAGAGAGGCAGTTTAAGTGAATATTCACCGGCTTTCCAAATGAAACCCTCACATACTTCGCACATTACCACAAGCAGTCAAGTCTAAAAACTTACAGATTTATTTACGTACAGAAGATGATTCAGCTTTGCTAGTCCTGCTGTGAAAACAATCCCTTTAATTCCATTACAGTGTGATTTATGAATTTTTCTTACAGTAATGTGGGTATTTTAAAACCGTATACATCTTACCTGTCCTTTCCTCCAATTTAGCGTACTTTGGAGTATTACACATATTACATTCTGATCTTCTGGCCCAGTTCACGTTACCACATCTTCAGAGGCAAAAAGAACAGAACAGAAATAAAAATCATTTTATTTCAAATCAAAAAGCTGAAGCGTTGAGGCAACACTTAAAAAACCACACAAAAACATGTATTTGCCAAGTTTTAGCTGTGATCCGCAGTCACTGTACGATGCAGTTAACTCCAAGGCCAACAGTCACCCAGGCACAAAGAACCACAAGGGAGCCTACGGGTGTTTCACCGGCACAAGGATGACGGGAAGGTGACTGTACTGGATAAATCCAGGGGAAAGGAGTAAAATTAACAGGCAGGGAGGCAGGCATGTTAATAGAAGACTACCCAAAAAGTGCTAAAATTCCTCATTGCTCTCCACTAGTGGCATTCACAGTTCAGAAGAGTTAACGAAGAAGTTACTACGGGAATAACGCTTACGATCGGTCACTGTCACCCACCGAGGCACAGCTACAGTCACTGCTCTCCTATCTTACAGCCTCCTGAAGGGCCACTCATGCTTCATCCATCCGCAGCACTACCATCACCACATTGCTCCTTCCCAAAGAGAGGAGGAGCAGGTTCACAAGACACCGCCCCGCTATGAGCTTGGATAGAGACAATCCCGAAGCGTGCCACCACGTGGATTCCCACTGACAGCGGGACCCAGGGCGCTGCCCAGGAAATCCCCCCCATCTCATGCTGTGGAACAGCACCAATGAAACCCATCACACGGAATACAGCTCAATTCTGACAAGAAAAAATTTAAACCCCCCCAGGTTTCAGTGCTCAGACAGCTTACTCAATGAGCAAAACCTGAAATCCTTGCAAAGTGCTCAAGAATATCTAAAAGCACCTCTCAAAAAACAAAGCATTTTACCCTTGTAGTCCTTTTCTAATTTAGATCTTAATATTCTAAATTGATGGCTTGGAAAAACATAAAACTCTAACTATGTGCTGTACCTTCCTCATTAACTATTCAGTGAACGTTAACAACAAACTATCATACTGCACTGAAGGTGTTACTTCCATCTACACATTCCTTCCCAGCTTGAGAAGTGTCTGGCTTATTAAAGAAAAACATGAACTTTTACCTGTCTAGTCTTGATTTTTTAAATCTCTTTTTTTTCCAGTCATGTAAATAAAGTAACTGCTGTCCAGCAAACAAAAACGAATGCTATCCTCACAGCAAAGCACCACTAGTGGAACAGCTGTGAGTTTTGATCTCTCTTCTCCCATCAGTGCAATGAAGTTTCTACCGACAGAATTAAGTATCGTACTGTAGAAGTGCTGTGTGGCTCTAAGAGAACACTCTGCATGTTTTTAAAAGGGCATACGTTTTACACTGCCAGTCGTTAGCACTGAAGAGGCCACGACTCTTTTCAGCAAGTGTCTTTCCTATTTCAGTCCCTCCAGCTTTCATCATTTTGGCTTCTGTCGTTTTTTCTGGAAAACAAACAAACAAACAGTTCTCAAACTTCTTGCATTACGCCTAATTGAAAAGATTTAATACGCTTTTCTTTTAAAAATGTATAAAAAGATGATATGTATTTTTCTCCTCGCCTATGATACTCACCTCTCCCACATCTGTTACAGCTGGTTCTTCTAGCAAAGTTAACATTCCCACACCTGAAAATAAAAACAGATCGAAGACGGCAGTTAACTGAACGCTGGAATACGCACACACGCCGGACTTAATGAAAAACGCCTTTATAGCTCAAGCTGAATTTGTTCCAAACGTAAACATCAAGTTTATCAGGCCGCGCCCGGCCCTGGGCCGGCTGGTGCCGGCCCCGCTGCACGAAGGGAGCCAGGAGCTGGGAGAGCTTGCGGGGAAGGCCGCCTCGGAGCAGCTCC